TGTTCTCTCTATTTTTATATTATAATAATAAATGAACCAGTGTTTTAATATTATTTTAATCAAACTGGAATCAAGATAAATGGTGTACTTTTGTAAGGGATGTAATTATTTTTTACATCTGTGTACAGTGTGAAATTCTTAAAATAAAAAAATAGGTTATAAGGTGAAAAAAACTTGATGCAGTCTAGCAATACATTTTTTATATAATAATGTAATACCAGCCAGGTTTTCTTTTTTCAACTGGAGCATTAAAATGTCTATAGCACACTGGATTAGTGTATCCTGTATCACTTTGAAATTCCTTGATGTCTTGGTTCCCAACATTAAAAAAGTATTTGGTTTATTATTAAAACAGGAAAATAGTCATTTACAACCTCAGCAAAAAGCTAACTGACTAAGCTATAACCATTTCTGTACTGAAATAAACAGAGAAATTTTACAATGCACAAGTTCACTGGTTTCTCCAGCTTCTCACTCTGAAGCCAATAACTGTATCTTTAGTTTTCATGAAAAAGTTTACATAAATATACAGCTGTAATTTTTCATTTTGACAGATAAAGCTAAAACCTTGAGTAATAACTGATTGTAATCTAGTGGTTTTCAAGCATGGGAGGTGGAGATACTGTATACCTGTATACTGGTGTTGTGGGCAACATGGGGAAATGCCTCAACTACTAATAAGTCACAGGTTAGCTGACCTGCTGCTGCTGTTCTGAGCTTTACTTCTTTATTCAGCTGAACAAATTATACAGTTTATAAGCTGATATTTGATGAGCCACGATGGCTATTCTTCAGCTCCGAGTCAGTATAAAGCTTTCAAATCATTAAATTGGACTTTAGCAAGAATCATAATATTAGATTGAAATCAAGAAGCAAGTCATGCTGAAATGCATCTAGGCCAGGCATTCTCATAGTGAAGAGTGCTGCGGCTCACTTAAAACCACAGTGTTTTAATGCTTTGATGTCATCAACAAAATATGTGGCATATTGTCTAAAGTCTTAGATTTTGTCTTAAATCTTCACACTAATCAAAATATAAGAGAAAGTAATGTATTTTCTTTGAAACTTTATCCAAAAATGATCAATAATACAGACTGTTGGCTATAAACAGCTAATGCAAGCCAGTGATATGCAGAGTGTTAAATGGGAATAAATGATCCAGGTGCTTATTGGGACAGTTGCTTTGAAACATGGTCTAAATTAACTGCAATTTCATTAAAAACTATATGCACCAAATACCCAGTCGAAATTCATCTAAAAGAATTATTTCAACAAATCAGGTTTTAAAGCCTTTTGCCCGGGAGTTACTTCTCTCACTCCAGAATAATCCTCCATATAAACGTGAACATAAACTGCAGTGCTGTAAATTATATTGAAATTTTCATTTTATCAAATGTTAATGTTTGCTGAAAAGTCCCATCTTTTTACATCACAGTCACAACTTTATGGATAACACATGACAGTGGTTTAAACTTTTACCTTTGGCTGCCATCAGTGACGGTGGGCTCCATGGTGATGTTCTCCTCAGGATTGAAAAAAGGCCGCAGAGAGCCGTACCACATGTTGACCAGCGTGAGCTTATGGAAACCTGCACATGTGATAAAATACGATGGCAAAGGTTTGTCAGGTTGAACCAAGAAAAAGAACATGTTTTTTTTTTGCTTGCTTGAAGAGCAAGACAGGGAAGATGGTTTTTGTAGCAATCTCCGACCATTGTTATGGAGATCCTGCATCTTCTGATGTGGGACTGAAATACAGTCTAGGATGGTTGGCGTCTCTGTTTCAGGTCCACAGAAACTCGATCCTCTGGATACTTCCTGCAGCTTCTGCTGCTGCACCACCAATTCTACGAACAGGAGTAAAAAGGTTTAGATACATTATTCATCATTTTAATGCTTATAGTACATATTACAGCTCGTGTTATATTCATTTAGTGACACATGTTTACACTTTTTCAGTAGCAGGTTTAATCCAAAGTCTCAAAACAATGACAATAATGTGAATTATAAAGAGGACTGAAAACATCTTAGCAGAAAGCTAAGATACAGAGGTGGGAAGTAATGAAGTACAAATACTTTGTTACTGCATGTCAGCAGCACTTTCAGTTATCTGTACTTTACATGAATATTATTTTTTCTGACAACTTTTTACTTTTACTCCCAACATTTTTAACACAGATCTGTACTTTCTACTCCTTACATTTTCAAAGCAGGCCCGTTACTTCAGGCTCAGCAGTATCATTTATAGCGTTTATACTTAGCAGGTAAAACTGGGCCGAGTGCATGTGTCCATATGTTGTAGTCGAGCTTCTAGAGGAATAAACATGAGTAATGTTTCTACACAACGTAACATTTGTACACATTTTCACCCAGCCCAACAAACATCAGCAAACACACAAACTGTTTGTGTGCAGTTAATATCACATATAGTATAATCTTATAATAAAATATTAGTCATTCTCCCTGTCAATAATACGTTTTGCTTTCTTACTTTGAGTACATTTCAGAGACTGTACCTTTTCACTTTTACTTGAGTAAAGAAGTAGAATCAGTACTGCAACTTTTACTGGAGTATTTTTTAACTCAAGTATCTGTACTTCTACATAAATACAAAAATGTCTGTACCTTTGCCACCTCAGCTAAGATAGAACATCTTCCGTAGCAACATTATTTCTATACTGCACCAAACCAGGACTTTAATCTAATAATAGACATTTTCTTGTTGCAGAGGTGCTTCAAGCTTTATAAGTTTTACAATTTTGTATTTTTACATAACTCAAACATCATCAGAAATTTAAAAAAGTCCTGAAAGCAAATAAAACAAACCAGACAAAGAAATGAGAGCAGAATATTAGATTGTAATTATTACATATCTGTGAGTGGGAGATCACATTTGCGGCCTTTTGCTTTTAGTATCAGTGACTTTCAGACTAAATATTATGTTATTATTAATGTTATTATTAGTGATAAGTTCAAAGATGTCACCCAGAAGCTACACAGTTGCCATTTTCTTAATCATTTTTCCACCAGAACTCTGAAGTGATAACAGGAAACTGAACACGACCTTGTGTTGTGAGGTTTTGTTGTCTTGTAGTTTTGTCTCAGACTCTCTATAATTCAATTACAATTCAATTCAATTAATTACACAAACTCACAACAGTCGCCTTGAGGTGCTTTATATTGTAAGGTAGACCCTACAATAATGCACACAGGGAAAAACTGGGGGGGTCATATGATTGTTGGGTTGGGGGTCAGCTGCTTTATGGTGTGGCTAATAAAGTTCAGAGAATTTGTTAGTGACCATGTTTACATTTGGCTCAGTGAAGTTTGGACGTTACTCTCATATTTTATTTTTTGTTTTCTCCATGTTTTATTTTTCAAGGCTAAGAGTGAGCATTGTTTACATGCTTATTGTTTTTCCATCGTGTTTTTTAATTGCTACGACCAATGCTGCATTCATGTGTTCTTCCAGTCAGTATATATTAAAAAATACGATGTTATTTTATCCCAAGATCCAGACCGCATGCAGTGTTTGTTATTGATTCTTTGGAATTGAACTGAATTGTATTCAGTCTGAGAGCATCTGAGTTTTGTTACTTATGTTTCTAGTTTTGGTTCTTGTTTGCTTTCATCTCTGTTCCATTTTTCATGTCCAGTCTGTCTTTGTCTTGTCTCTGTGTCCTGCCTCCATCTGTCTGATCTGTGCTTTGTCCTTTTTCTTCCCAGTCTGTCATGTCTCCATCACTGTTTATTCCCCAGTTGGTTAAATCAAATGAAGAATTGAATTTATTTCTTCTCCTCACATACAAGGTCTTGAATATTCATGTCCCATCACAACTTAAACACCTGACAGTACCTTATCGCCCCAACAGACCACTTCCCCCTCAGACTGCATCCTATTTGTGGTTCCTGGGTTTTTAAAAGGAGAACAGGAAACAGCTGACATGCCATCAGCTGTCAGGACCCCTGTCTTGTAGAACCAATTCCCAATCTGCATTCAGGAAACAGACCATCTTTCTACGTTTAAGATTAGGCTTTAAATTTTCCTTTAAAAAAAAAAAAGCTTATAGTTATGCCTGGATCAGGTGACCTTGAATACTTCCTTAGTGATGGTGCAATAAGCCTAGGCTGCTGTCGGCTTCCCATGATGCACCGAGTCTTTCTCCTTCACTCACCTCTTTTCACTACCTCTCTGTGTTTATCCACCACTTTGCATTCAATTGTTTGTTATAATTAATCCCTGGCTCTCTTTAACAGTCTGTGTCCTGTCCTGCTCTTTCTCCTCATCCCAAACCGATCGTGGCAGATGTCTGCCCCCCAGTTCTTTCTTCCTGTTTTTCACCTGATTGTTGGAGGCTTCTCTGTATGGGACTTAATCCAGTCTCATCCTTGTCTTTGGACTTACTGTAAGACTTTGTTTTGATGGTGTTGCTTTACAGCGGGCCAATAGTGATTTGATTGGTGATGTTATTTTAATGGAGAAAGACAGAATATAAATTAAATATCTATATGAATACAGATCCATCCATAGACAGACATGCAGCCAAGTGATACACCCAGCATATCTACACAGCAAAATCTCCAGTGTTAAATTAACACTGGAGAGTGTCTATATGGGTCCACACCTCTTTTGACAGTGTTATATGTTTAAAAGTAACCTGGTCAGTTTTGAAGATTAACAATGGCCAACACTGAGCAGTGCTGATTTTCTAACACTGGAAAATAACTCAAAATGTTAGAAATATTCCAGTGTTAGAAAATCAGCACTGCTCAGTTTCCTCAGATATTGTGTCATATTAAGTTAGTGTCACATAGTGAAAAAAGGTGAAAAATTACTATACAAAGTGACCATCAGCAGACGAGAAGGCATATACTTAACTTTAAAATAAACACAGGTACACAGGTGTGCATTGCTTGTTCGTGGAGAATTTGTTAAAGCAGTAGCCAATCAGCTTTAATTGTCATAGTTGCACTGAGGACATCAAAATCCACAGGACAATGGCAGATTTTACCATTTGAGCAGTGCAATAAGGAAGTGTCTAACAGATCAGTCTAAACATCGTTTGGATACAGTTTAATCCGTCAGTGTCTGAATAATAACAGTGGATTTCATTAAAAACCATCCTTATAGCTCAAATGATACTTGTCAGCTGAACTGGCTGCAGTTCCTAAACAGCTAATTCAATAGTTTTGTTAAACAGTGTCTTATGATCCATGTTCATGAATACACGCTGGAAAAAAGGTCTACGATCTTAAAATTAAAGCTAAGATACATTCTGCAGTTAGTCATAGTATATCATTTTGTTAAACGTGTATTTGATTATCAGTACAAAACTCCTTTTTATGTTCTATTATTGTGTTTCTGTCATCACTGGTGAATAGATCTCATCTTTCTGAAGGTCATTTGTTACATAATTGCATTTTTTCAGAAGCTTTCTAAAACTGCTTGATGATGAAGCCAGAGCCTGTATCTGTTATACCTTTGTGTCCAAATTCCTCTGCTCTATTTTCACATTTAAGCCATTCTAATGTGTGTGTGTGTGTGTGTGTGTGTGTGTGTGTGTGTGTGTGTGTCAGAGAGAGAGATAGACTCACTGATGTTGGGGCTGCGGATGGTTAGGTGATTGGTCTCTGCCATTAAGCGAGGGCTCAGGCTGGTCACCATGTGGTCAATGCGTTTGACCACATCCATGGGGCCGTTCACCACCTCAAACACAGACCACGAGCAGGTTAGCAGCAGTGGCACGTGCCCACTATGGCCTGCTCACGGCAGTCATCAAACCAAAGAAGGCAGATCTCAAAATGGCCATTCATACAGTACTTTTATCCTCTTAACTGTTTCCCACACTGTTGCAGCAGAACTGGGCACATACACACCTCAGTGGATGGGCCTATAATGCAGCGCACAATCAGAGATTTCCTGTTGTCTGTATTGAAAACCTGCATTCTGATTTCAATTTGCCCATTGAAGAACTGAGCCTTGGAGACAGCTGGGAGCAGAGCAAGAGAGGGAGGTTTATGGATGAGCACATGCACAGCTTTTTTAAATGGCTCATCATTGAGTCTGCGTTGAGTTGGCCTTGGAGCACTGCGAGTTCTGAGGGGGAAGGGAGGCAAAGTGCTGAGAGAAACACTTGTCATAAGGCAACCTTTATACAGATCCATACACATCAATAGTGCAGAAGCAGAGGAGGAAAAAATAACAGAGCCTGGTGACAGAGATGAGGGAAAACACAGTGCAGCGAGTGTGAACAGGCTTACATGGATGCCTTTACTCAATAATTAGAGAAAATTTGGGAAAATCTGGATGACTAAGCAATGACTTGGAGGCAGACTTTAAATTTATCAGCTCTGTTCTTCATCACTGAAGCTGATGTTGAACTCTTGGAACAACACAAACCATAGAAGCATACTGTCCTCTGGTGGATTTGAAGGAAAATAACACCTACGTTCCTACAAAACCAGTCACTGGAGCGTAAGTGGGACAACAGCCTTTCTCTTGGTCCTCACACTTCCTATCTTTTGATACTGAGCAGTGATTAGACCAGTGCTCTCTTCACCAAATTGAATTTTTGACACGTTTGTGTGAGGTATAATCTCAACATCTATTAGGTCATTTAATATCTGTGCAGGGTTATGTATAAAGGTTGGGCAAAGCCAATCTAACATGTAGCATCTTTTATTTAGCATCTGACGAAGAAAAGAAACATCACCAATCCTGGATCAATCAAGAGTCAGCTGTCTCATTCTGGAAAGTGCAGCAGGCAGGGAACCACTTGTACAATTAATTAGTTCTCAAAGTTTAAAAAGTTATTTTAGCATAAAGCAGTTTCGCAAATTAGGGAATGTAGTCACAGGTGTTTACGTAGCAGTGAGGTTGTAATGCCTGGGTCCTGAAAGTGTGGCCCATGGACCATCAATATAAATATAATATGATGACCATAAATAATCGAAAGTGTACCAACAGTTATGAGATTCAGCAAAGCATAGTGACATCTAGAACAATTTCTACACGTCTTTAGTACATTTCAGTTTTCAGGTACAAGCACTCTCCTTTCTTGCCATCATCCCCTCGTTGAACCTGGGATTGGGTCATGTGACATGGACTGGGTTTTATAGCACTTTTCTACTCTGAGCACTCAAAGATTTTACGAAAGCTGCCTCATTCACATAAGCACTTTTTTTTTTTTACACGAGTCCTTTCTATACTCTGACGGATGCATCGGGTTAGTACCCTGCCCGAGGACAATTGGCACGTAGGGGCTTAAGTCGCAGTGCCATTTAGCAGCGTTATGGCTTGAGTGTAAACATTCCTCCTCATTCGTTCTGTCCTGGCAGCCGCACATGGCAGCTTGTTATTAAGGTGGCTGGTTCCCCTGCTGTCCTCCTGGCTGCAGATGCGTAACGTTTGCTGTCTGTCCTACAGATTCAGGAGGTTAAACTAGCTGAATGAGCTACCTTCCTGAGGACCAAATGGTTCCATCAGATGTGTTTCTACTTCCAGGAGGTGATGCTCCAACTCAGGATGCAAGGGTAGACGTTCCTGAGCACCCTGGGTGGGAGTTTGAAGCCCTTTAATCATCTGAGGTACTCATCAGGACTATATCCCTGAAACTAATTTTATGTTAATTGCATATAAAATTCAATACATTTTCAATAGGCTTAACAAAAGGTTTGCAAATCTATATTTAACTGTTTATATTTAGGGATGCGACTTCTGTGGATGATACAAGTGTTACGTCTGTGTGTTTTTGGTGCTTTCTAAAGGTTAGTACTTCATACCTCAAATACTTACAAACAAAGGAAATTCGATCTGTGTGTGCATCATAAATGGTAAATGGCCTGTATTTATATATCTTTATTTAAATCTCTTCTATGATGTAAAACATCATAGAAGAGGACAGTGAATTCATTTTTGTTTCTAAATGTATTTTGAATTTATCAGGATCAGCTCTTGAATAGAGAACCACACACACTCTTAAATCCACTCCCACGGTGAATTTACAGATCACCAGTGAACCCACTATTTTGTTAGTTACTTTAACTCAAGTTACTTTAAATACATGTAGCAAAGGTTTAATTCCAAATATAGAGAGTACTAAACATCAAAACAAACAGAATAATCAGCGATGAGTTAAGCAGACGTTTCCTGCCTTGCCTCCATTTTAGCCACGTTGAGCGAGAGAGCAGGAGTTTGTGCAGCAGTTCTTCAGCATATACAAAGAATAATGACCCTTAAAGACTTGTTTCCCATTTAGAAGCTGCCATTATTCCATTTATTTGAAAATCTATTCCTACTACTTGAGCTTCGGATCCTTAAAGGAAGAGTGGGTTAAGGCTGACTGTACAATAGTAATCAGGTCAGATGTAGAGTTATATATTGCACACATTTGGAAACAAAATATGCATTAATTCCCTGAGAGATGGAACATGATCCCTAAAGTTTAGAATAACTGTCGTAGGCTATGGTTTGGGCCACATCCCATTTTTCCTGGCTGTATCTTAATTGGCCCGTGGGGATAAATAAGGTCTTTCTGATTCTGATTCTGGCAAACTAGAAAAAGTAGTGCTTCCCAACAATCCTGAAAGTAATCATTTGGCATCTTCTACCTTTACGTTTATTCTAATAACAAAAAGAGGGAAAGATTTTTTGGTCTTAGAGGAACTGGCTGTTCAAACAGAAGATGCTGAAGAGAATGATGACTGTGTTTATTTGTGAATGAGGGTAAATGAAGCTTTGAGTACTCAAGTAGAGTAAAAAAGTACTATGTAAGAATCAGTCCATTTACCCTTTATCCATCAGTTTCCTTCTGTTCACCCAATCCTGGAGTGCGGGCTTGCTGCAGCCTCTCCCAGCTATCACAGGCTGACAGGCCGGTACACCCTGACCAGGACTGCCACAGGGCAGGAAAACAAGGAACTCTAAGCACTTCTGGTACAGTCTGAATGACAAGTTGAGGTTGTGTAAAAACTCCTGATATTGCGACACTGCAGGTAAAAACACACAGTCAGCATCAGAGTCACTCCGTGTGAACTACCTCTTTGATGGCTTGCCACTTTAAGGTGTCTTCTTCACTGATGATGCTGTCAGCCAAGCTGATGAAGTGCTGGCTGAGCTCCTGTATGTTGTCCTGGCTGTAGTTAGTGTCATGGGTAAATGGCTGTGAGGGGACGTCTGCAGTTAGAGACAGAAGCTGTATGAGGGACATTATGTCTGCTGGCTGCAGTCCCTCGTCCCGGGTGTCCTCTAGGGCCTGGACAGAGACGTCAAGCAGGGCAGATGCCTGGGCCAGGCTGCTCAGCCCTGATGGCAGCATCAGCTAGGAGAGGACACAGCGACGCTGAGTTTTTAGTGTGATTAATATTTACTAATAACTTTCTGTGACATCAGGTATTTTGAGTTCATGTGTTTTTATTGGTGTTTTCCTGTTGGAAAGTGGAAAAAGCCTGATAAAGAATAAGAAATCAAATTTAAAAAGTCTGGATACAGTCTGGACACAATTATTGTCACAATTATCATAAATAGCACAATAACAATATAATCACAATGTGTTTAGGAGGTGAAAAATAACAGTTGTGTTATTAGTCAGCGTCATCTCAGATTTATTTTTCATTTTAAAAAACTGCAGATTCATGTAGTTGGCAGGAGACACTAACTGCACAAAAGCATACAAAAAGAAAAAACAGTCTGATTTCCTAATGACAGCATGATCTGTATATCACTGACACACTATCAATATTTCATTTTCATATGTTGCAGTTACCCCTCCGTGAATCGCTCCCTTATCGTGGTGGAGGGGTTTGTGGTAGCGTCTCCCTACCAGGGGAGACCAGACAAAGAGTCATTCAGACCCACTATGAGCAGAGATCAAGGGAACTGTCTGCCTGCCTGGGGTAGGGTTACCGGGGCCCTGTCCTGGAGCCAGGCCCGGGTAGGGTGTGTGTCTGGTAGCAAGCCATTAGTCCGGGTACAGCCTGAAAAAGGGACATGAGCCCACCCTCTTGTAGACCCACCACCCTCAGGGGGCGCATTAGGGGTTGGGTGCAATGTGTTCTGGGACAGGGGAGGCTAGGGGCAGAGACCCTGGCGGACCGATCCTTGTCTACCAGAACTAGCAATTGTTACATGCAATGTCACCTCTCTGGTGTGGAAGGAGCCTGAGTTAGTGCAGTTGAAAGGTCCCAGCTAGATAAAGTCCACCTCAACCCACGGTGTGGGCTCTGGAACCAGTCTCCTGATACTTTTCAATGCAAAGAATGTTACTAGATTTAAATAAAGATATAAAAAATGCAGTGCAGTTATAAAACATATAAAACATGTAGAAGTGTACCTGGCTCTGGTTGGAGAGCTTCATCAGCTGGCTCATGAAAGCAGTGGGCTGAGAGCTCTGAGAGTCACTCATCTGCTTCATCTTCAGGTAACGCTCTGTGCCAAAAACAATATGACATGAATGTAGGTGATATATAGTAAGAGCAGCATGCACTGCTGCTCACAGATCATTACTCAGTCCTGGGTCTGCTGCAACCTCCGAGAGTACAACACTAAACCCAAATCAAAAGTGACCTCCCTCACTTAGAGCTCAGATAGTGTGATTTAGTTACAGGAGGCAAAGAACTGAGACTTTATTACTCATCATTAATGCTCAGTCGAGGACTGTAACTCCAGCAACCCTGCTTGAAACCATTTTTTTTTTTTTACCATAGATCAATTCTTTTGATCAACATTTAGAAGAAACTTGGGGGGGGGGGGGGGATACAGTGTAGGAAGTCAGTGTAGAAAACATGGAGGATCATTTTCATGGTCATCGTGGTTTTGTTTTGTTTTTTGAAGGAGTACAGCATCAACTCCTCTCACAAAGCATCTTTACAGCTCATGTGTCAAAATGTTTCCAACACAGCTGAAAGTTGCATGCAAACAGGAAAGATGTGACCCTGACCTGATTTCAACGCTCAAATTTACAGTTTGTTCTGATGGCTTGAGCACATTTTTTGTAACTATTGGCTATTTTTGCAAAACTCTACACACAAATAAGAAAACGCTTCACCCAATCAGCAAAACATTGTAGTTTTCTTGTAAAAGTGAACAACCCTGCTTAACTCTCCACACCTTTGTAAAAACGGTATTTTCGTATCCAACAGTTAACACAAGCCATCACATTAATAAGCACACAATGCATCAACTACACACTGATGGTATGAATGAAAAACACATCTGGCTTTTGCTTCCTCTGTGCACAATAGGCCATGTCAGTTTGAGCTCATACTTTTGTCATAGGTCTGTAAACATGGAGGGATCCAAACTTCAAGTACTGGTGTTTATTCACACACATCAAAACAAACACAAGTGTTTATTTCCAAGTATAGGATTATTTGCAATCGCCATAATGACTCTATGGATTTCTTGGTCTGCAGTGAACATGCTTCCTCTGGCCCAGCATCTGCTCGTCTAGCAACTCTGTAAAGTAACAATTTCAGTATTTTTACATCTATGGTATTGCTGTGTTTCTCATTAGCATACGGCAGTGCTACAGATCTTAGTGCAAAGTGACTGTATTCACCGACTCTCATTTCAAAATGTCATGATACTTGCTACAGTGTAGCGGCTCGAGTTAGGCTGGACCCGTTGGCCAGCTTCCCTCAGGGTCATTCCACGGTTGATTACATGGTCCACTATTGTAGCTCTGATGTCATCAGCAATTCTATTTCTTACTCTTCTTACCCTTCCTCTCCCCCCTCCTCATCTTCCTCTTGCTCCTCCTTGTCCTTGTCGTCCTCTTCGTCCTACTTCTTCACCTCCACGTCCTCTTCCTCGGCCTCCTCTACTTCTCACTCTTCCTGCTCCCTCCATTGTACTCCGCACACAGAGCTTACCTGTATTATAGTGCTTAGGCTGGTTGCAAAGTGAACTAATTATCTAAAAAAGTTTTCACATGTGGCAGTGTGCCAGACAGTTGGCAAAATACTGTAAATAATGGCCGTAAATGTGTACAGTTTTGCTAGGAGTGCGTTGATCATTTGGGAATTGAGTGTAAAGCAGTGAGTTGTGTTTACAGTTCTGCAAAAAGAGTGCTGTGCAGAGGATTGTAGCTACAGGTTTGCAAAGTGTGTGTTACAAAATGGCAAACTGAGTGCAAAGCAGTGTTTGTGCTTTTAGTTTTGCACACTCAGTGAGTGGTTTTGCTATAAGTATTAATAGTTTTAGAAGTTGTGCTGTAAGAATCACAGTTAGGGTTTAAGCATTCAAAAAAAACTGTAAATGGCTTAAACTGGTGGAAGGTTAAATAAGTCACATCATGTACCAGACCTCTGCAGCGTACAGCCTGTGAGGCTCACCTCTGCTGCTCCTGCAGATGAAAGGCAGGAGATCCAGGCAGTCCCTCAGACCCAACTGTGGAAGCTCAGCTGACCAGCCCTGCAATGTTCTGCAGCCCTGTAGCTCCACCTGCTGGTGCACTGCTGCAAACACGTACCAATGGTCACACAAGACAAGAGTTAGTATGAAAAAAATATCTGAAGCCTTGTTAGGTGAGAATTAATGGACAGGGTATGACATTTGATTAAAGCAGAAAACTGAATAATGGTTTTAAATTATATCAAATTGCATCTGGGTAATGTGCAAACACAAATGAAACCTATCTTAGTGCTGATAAGAAAAAAAACTGCTCAGATCTAGTAAGAGGAAATATGGGGGAGTAGTCAACACTGCTGGGAGCTGTTCCTTCCCAAGCCGCCCCCCCACACACTGACTGAACTCTGGGAATCCCCTGCAGTCATCCAGCCCTCCCTGCACACTTTCTTTCTGCTCGTTCTGGAAGCATCCCAGACTTTTCCTGTATAAATTGAATTCTTTGGTTTTATACTAAAGTAAGAATGTGACAGAAAGGCTTTTCTGTGATGCTTTGTGTAAGAACACATGAAAGAGTCATAAAGATTTTCTTTTTTGTGTAGACAGTACAGTTAGAATCAGTTCCTCCATAGTTAGAATAACAGGATGTAATTATTTTTCATAGTTTAATTTTACTGATGACTATACATCAGTGAAATTTTAACTGTTTACTGTTATTTTACACAAGTATTTCTTGTCGCATTCTTAAAAAAGTAACTATTTCAGCCCCTTGACTGTTTTATCCAATGACTACCTTTTACATGGGTTACTGTCAGCTCAACTGTTTATTTGTTCTTGTAAGCTAGGCTGTCAGCCTGGTGGCCACTAAGTAGATCAAACTGAATGAAGTGGATTCAGCTTTATTTCTGTGTTACACGTGGCCAGCTTAACCTTTACATAATTACTTTTCAGTCATTAATTTTAGCTTTTGCAGTTCTTTAATAAAATGCATAGATTACGTTTAGCTGTCCTGTTAACCTTAAATTTACTTACTCATCACAGCTGTTTAGCTGCTACCATTATTTAACATTTTTAACTATTTATTCATTATTTATTTGTCTTTCAGTTGCTTGTGTGTTATTCTGTTTTAGCTGTGACATTTTGTTTATCTGTTACTTCTAACTAACCTACAATAATTTTAAATATTTACCAGTTTTAGATCAAATCTTTGTAGTTTACTGGATAGTTTGCGCTACCTGGGACTATTTTATATTTCATTTTTTATTTTTTTAGTTATCATTCATATTTAAATTTGAACACTGTCTAATTATTACACTTCTCTGCTAGCTTTCAAGGCAGTTTGACTTTAACCGTCTGACATTGTGCATATTTTTAAAAAATCTACTTTACTTTGTATTTCTCCTTCATAAAGTAGAGCAAAAATCATCAAAGCAAGGTTGACAAGGCCAGCAAAGTATACCAACATACAACAGCTCTTATTAGCAGAGAATAAATTTAAGTTATAGATTTTAAAAGGAGTCATCTTACCTGGGCAAAACAAACGGGCCTGCACCTCTTTGACCACAGGGTGGCTACTAAGGAGCTCAAGGTTCCAACTGAAAAGCAGGTCCTGGGTGACTGGTGAACATTCATTTAGCAGACGGACATGGTGTGATTCCAAAGACATGTTCCAGACATTTAGGTCAGTTATATTTCCAAAGAAAGGCTCTGTAAAATTCCCGCCAAAAGAGTCTTGGTCCTGCCCCAGGATCAGAATCCCATCACCGTAGATATCCCTGGAAGTGTCTGTGTCTGAGCCTGTGTCTTTCCTGTCTCCGTCCACATAGGTAGCCCAGTGGCCACCACTCTGCTGCCATGTGACACAGATTTGATGCCACGCACCATCATTTGGGAAGGATGCCTTGTATGGTAGGTGCTTCCCATGGATGATGAGCGCCAGCAAAATGCGACCCTGCATGTCTGCTTGGCCTCGCAGCTGGAACTCATTGGTAAAGACAGGTGCAGCGTAGGAAAATATGGTCGACACCTCACTCCACCATGGGTCCCACTGAACTCGAACACAAACACTGACAGATGAGAGGGCTGGGAAGGACTTGTTGACGTGTGCAAAGCCCTCACGCGACTCCTTTGGAAACTTTAGAGCTGAGAACTGCAAATCTGAAAGATGAGACCAAAACGGTGTTTCACGTAAAACAAAACAAAACAAAAATCTGCAGCTTAAAACTGCGTTTTCACTCACACTGCTGGGAGAGCGCCACAGGCTTGGAGGCTACTCTGCTGGAATCCCTGACCCAGACGGAGGAATGAAGTCCAGCCTGCCGAAGCAGCTCCAGAACTTCCTTCTGGTCTGAGGTGATGAGAGAGCTAAACCGCCCTCTGCAGAAGCTGTCGGCCCTAGAGAAGGACAGCGAGTCATTGACCAGCTGGAAAGCCCAGTGTGGTGTCAGATACACCAGTGTTTCTCCTAGAAAGTCAGACATATACACGAAGTTTCATTAAACATGGATAATATAGAGATTTTATTTAGCCTTTAGTGGAGAAGCCAGAATTCTCACCATTTGAGCCCTCTACTCTTTCTGGCACGGCATGTGTCGGCTCACTTTCACATCCCACCTACAGGACAAAGGAAACCAGTTCACCAAAATACCAAATTAAAAAAAATGACCATCAATAATTTGGATTTCCATGTTTTAAATGTTTGTTTGGGGTTTTTGTTTTTACATAAAAAAGGTAACAACAATGAAAAAATCACACATCAAAAAAAATGTATCAATTTAAATCATTATGGAAAAATGAGAAGGTTATTACCACAAACAGGAAGAGTATGAGTCCAGTAAGCAGGGTTCCCATCATCTCTAAGCCAGTGTAGCGTTCTGCTGTAATACACCATTCAGGTCACCAGTGCAATTATGAATTATATTTCTGCTAAATCTAGATAAACGCCACTGATTATGAGCATTTAAGCCATAAACATTTCAGATGCTGCTGTGAGCAGTGCATGACAGTGCTGGTGGCAAGCATGTGTCACTCTTCCACAGCTGGTTCGCAAATATTCAATTTTTTCCCAGTTTATGGGAGATGTTAAATCCCTTCTTTCCTCCAACCAGTACAAAAAGTAGTGTGAGGTAATATGGGAACAAGATCCAGCTACACCGGATAATGGAACCCAAATCCAGACGAGTACCGCTAATACCTCAACCACAGCGTTCGATACACCCTGCAGTGCAGTCTGATCTCCTGACTGGGAGAGAGCTGGCGATCCCAGTGCATCTGTCCAACAATCCCAGTCTGTCCTGCCTCCTCTTTGCGACAGACTCAAACTCCTCCCTCTCCTTCTGCCCTCCACCCTGAAACCATCGGGCTTTGTCATGCAAATAGAGCCATTTTTAAAAGAAGCCTATTTACGTAAGCAGTGTCAAGCATTTGCCAGAGAGAGTTCATCAGCAGCAGCAGCAGGGTGGCAGACATTTTTACTGTATGGGCCTTATTTATGTTTACTACAGAACACTTTGTGTTAAGTGGGGCATCTGTTTCATTATTGTACTTCAAAGTTAGTAAAACATTAGTGCTACTCATGTAATCCACCCACAAAGTTTGTCTTTGTAGACAGATTCCATCAGGTGGCTTCGTGCATCATGTCAGCGAGCTTTTACAAGCATCAAGCATCTCCTCACCTTCACAGTACACTTCCTGCATCAAACAGGCATCTTCTGCTCTGAGGTTTATCCAGTGGCATTGCACTGACTATGTGACAACAGCAAAAAGGAAGGGCAAGAAACATACACTGCATTTTACAGGTTGTAAGCAAACCACTGGTTAAACTGGAACTTATATAGCACTTTTCTAATCTTCTTGGCTGCTCAAAGCATATTAAACTACAAGTCACATTCACCCATTCACATTGTGTACTCTTCAAACACTACATTTACTGTACCTGTACAATTAACCTGACACACATGGACTGTTGGAGGCAGCCAGAAGAAAACCAAATGAGTTATTTCTATTGTGTCATCCTGCGAGGTGGTGCTTGTGTAACAAAGGCTGCTAAAATCACTAACCAACAACAAGAAATCCAGCCAGCAGTCGTACATTACAACGACTTTATGTCTGACAGTTTTAAGTACATGGCGTAGTAAAAGTATTTTCCAAAGACTGCGATTCTTGTCTTATTCTGCAGTAGTACTGATACTGCAGTAGTACTGTGCTAAAGCTATTTCCTCCAGTCAGACGCACAGTTGAGGTGAGGTTCTCAAAGATGCAGAAAGTCTGGTTACTCCTGTGTTCATGTGCCTTCCCCTCACAAGAACCTGTAATTCAGTTTGCTAATGCCAAAATATCATTTCATCTAATAGAGTCAACAGCAAGTTCAGTCAGAACACACTTCATAATTTTTTTTAACTGATTTACATGACACTGAGTGAAATAAGTATTTTATCCCTGAGCCAGAATTGTCAGGTAGGGCAGTCGTCTACAGCAACTGGTTGGGCTGAGGCGAGGAAGACCAGTGTTGGTCAAGTTACTTGAAAAAAGTAATCAGTAACTAATTACAGATTACTTCCCCAAAAAAGTAATCCCGTTACTTTACTGATTACTTATTTTCAAAAGTAATTAGTTACTTAGTTACTT